CTATTTAGGTAATAGTGAACCAACATTTAAACAAATTACCTTAGGAACTGATACGACCAAAATATAAACAGGATTTCAAGTCCTTTTAAGGTCTAGCAGCTAAGCTTGCTATTTTTAACACTTGATCAAAATCACCAATTTGTGCAACTTTTTAGCTAGAGATTTTTGAAAATAATTTGATGACTTTTCTTATAACGATGCATTTTATTTCTAAAATTTACCAGCTTGAAAATAATTCCACTTTAATTTTGCATGAACCTTTTCCGCAGAAAAGCAGGCAGATTACCTCTCCTTCAAAACTCAAAGTCAGATCCGGTGAACATCAGGAGGTAAAGTGTACAATCTTTGAAGAGACTTTTGGTAAAAAGAGCAAACTTATATTAACAGTAAATTCTTCAAATTTCCAAAACTGGATTTCATTCCTAATTTAGATACAGTTAACCTGTGCTATTAAATATCACCAATAGGGCAAGTGGTATGGATTCTTAACAAAAGGAAAACAGACTTCTCTCAGGTGGGTACAAGTGTGTGCAGCACATACCTTAGATGAAATAGTAATGTTCTCTTCATCTCACACTACACCTGTCAATAAACTAAGTGCTATTTGAATATTTATTCATAAAAGTTAGGTCCAGTAACTATTTTGAGAGCAAACAGAGCAGTAACATTTTATCACTATGGTGTACTGATAACAAGTTACCTCCTGACCTTTCCTATCTCTCAATCTTAGCTCACATATTCCTATATTACTTAAGACATTAAAATATTATTTTAAATTTTTTAAATAAAACACAGAAAGCTTCCAAATGATCAAATAAAGATCTAACCCTAAGTAAACCTTGGTTTTAAAGCTCTCCTCTTGCTAATTTTAAGAAAGGAAACGCCCAGAAGCTCGGTGTTAACGTTTCTGCTGATTGTGAAAATTGCAGCAATAAAAACTCCAACTGCTTGTCTTAAATTAAGACTTGTCATATACCATACGAGATCTGTATATTCATACTGGTTTTTATAACATTTGGAAGTTTTGTTGTTTGCTTTGATGTCAGTCCATTAATAAAGCAGAGAGTCAAAAGCCTGGAAAAAATTACATTTATTGGGAATTCTCAAGTCAAAACCTGAAGTAACTGGTTTATTCTACCCCACATGATTCAATCTTCTGATTTCCCCAACTACCTGCTCCCAGAGCTATCTGCATTTCTAAATTCGTTTTCTGTTGCCAACACATAGTAACCCACAGTGATTGAAAATGGCAGCTGAACTGCTTCTACAACACATTAATTTTTCTCTAAGTAGTCCAATTTTGTCATCTAAATGTTGAAAAATCTTCTTTTCACTGCATTTTACACCTTTAGAGATTTGCTGAATTCAGGCTCACCATCATATAAAATGAAGAGCAATGTTTTCAAGACAATTTTTAGATTATCACTAATAGCTCTAAAGGATAATGTGTTTTCTTTACAGCACTCTGCATTCAAAGAAGACTAGTTAATAGCAACTTAAGTGCAATAATAGCAATTACATCAATGTGAGCTTTTTTACCTCAAAAGTACTTCTTAGACAACTGAAGGGATCAGATAAATAAAGTATCATAAATCGATTTCAGGGTAAATGATAACACAATTTGAATGCCACTAAAAAAACCTCATCTTAATCTGAAAAAAGTTATTATCCTATTAAACTGAAGACTAAAAATATTAGGCAATTAATGATATTTTTCCTTCCAAAACTGTCTATTAGAAAGTCAATTTTTACTATTAAAATTAAAACAAGGAGTCCTGAACATTAGTAAAAAAGCCCTCCTCCAGTGAAGAGATATCAATTCACGTCCAAAATGAGTCAACTATCAAAGGTAATATGAGCTCACAAATCTCCAAAACCTTCCCAAACATTCATTTTCATCTTAAAACTAGGTTTTAGGAAATGGTAAGCTCAATAAATAAAACCAATGCTTCCCCAGAAGTTGAAGATAAAAGTTCCTCTCCTTTGACCCATCTGATCTCCAGAAAATGACCCAAAGGACCTCAGAACCTGTTCGTCCTTGTTTCTTCATTCATGGATATTGAGCTGTTACAAGAAATTCAAACAACCTACCTCTCTGCAAATGTAAAAAAGCATTAGCAAATGCACTATAAATATTAAGAAAAATAAACCAACTTTAAGCTGAATTCTCCAGTTTACTGTGTTTGATAAAATACAAAAATTTTGAGATGAAACAATGACTACTCAATCGGGATTATCCCTATTTAAGTACAATCATAAAAAAATTGTGCATCACTTAGAAACCTTTTTCAAATTTACACCTGCAATAGAAGGAGCATTAACAAAGTGCATGTTGAGTTTTTAATTTTCAAAACCCTCCACTGATTCCTTTTTCCTATTAATTTAGCAAGTATATTAAAAATAAAGTTTCCTAGGTGTAAAAATGAGTGGCCTTGTATCACAAGATTTCTATTGTTTCATAGACTAATTATCAGGCTTTCGTTCCCATTTTAGTAATATAACAAAGTGCAGGCCCTAGGAAAGTATTAAGTTAGAAGGAAAAGCTTTCTCTCCCTTCCACAGAAGGGACCCCAAAAGAGAGGCAACAGTGACGATCATAAAACAAAAGGTCACCCTTTTTCTAAGAACAAACCATTTATCAATAGAAAATAATTGTCTTGCCATTTGCAAGGGCTCCACAGCAATAGACAATGTTTTTCACTCACATAATTACAAAACAGTAAAAGTTCAGAAACACAGCCTGAATCCACCTCCCTATTTTTACCCTTTACAACTCTCATTGCCCTTTGGGCCTCCGCTTGGAAGCAAATGGGAGACAGGCTGAAGTTTTCTCAATTGAGCTGAAGCTAAGAAACCTTTGATATGCTAATAGTCCCCTTCAAACGGTAAGAATTCACACTTGCATTAATTCAAACAATTTGTGCAGAATGATGTGAAATGGCACCTCTTTTAGAGGCAAGCAACAAAAGGAGAGAATCGGAATGTCTGAAGAAACTAAACAACAGAACATTTGTTCTGCAGTATTCTTTCTATCACGCATAAATTTATTAGAGAGTGGAGGGAGGCACAACAAAAAGTTCCATAACACACCTGAAGAGAAGTAGATTTTCTTAGAAAGGCTTTCTCAACTATGATAAAGATCACTAAATTTAAAGTTATAAAGTTACCTTTTACTTAGGTCAAGAGTCCCGCCACAACTTGGAATGTTACCAAAGACACCACACCAACTATTTTATTTTTCTGCTATGGACGTATATTGCCTCCTTAGTCCCCATCTTTTAAGGCTTGCCCAAGATCAAACATGATTTAGTAGGAGACATCCCAACAGGCAATTATTTACCCAACGGATGTAACTCTTCCTCATTGTGCAACTCGAGTTGAGCAAAAAACAAACTCGGAGGGGCCCGTTCCAGACGCAAACACGGAGAGAGAAATGAATGGACCAACCACGTCCGTTAAATCTACGCCTCTGGAAAGGGGAAGAGAGGAGAGGCACACACTGTAAAGAATGCAGAAGAAAATGTAAGCATTGGGGGCGGGGGCGAGGAGGCGTGAGCCTAAGAACCTGGCCTTTGTAACGGGAACCATATGGTTGGTGGCTGCGGCTCAGACGCTCCCAGGCTGCTTGGAGAAGCTGCTAAGCAGCCTGACACCTTTCAAGAAACAGGAGGAAAACATTTCCTCGGTCTGAATCCGAGACTACACAGTTTGCATCAGGAAGAACGGAATGCGGGGGGGCAAGCAAGGGGGAAAGGATGAGGGGGGAGGAGTATACAGAAGATGGGAAAAGAAGACGGACGCTGCAGGACTTGTCCCTCCAACGCTGCCCGTAGAGCACAGAGTGAACAGAGGATAGGAAAAAATAGATGAAATTCACACGTTCCTTAGCCCGCGCTCAGCGACACTTGGGAACAAGTAAAGCTTCCAGCGATCTCCCGTACCCCAAGCCCCGTAGTTGGGCGAAAGGAACAAACTTGACGGATCCCAAGTGAAGTAATCTTGCAAGCGTGCCTCCCACTGCTGGGGCGCTTTTGTCACTTCCCTCGCCCTCGCCTCTCCGCCAGAGGGTCGGGGCGCCCCAGCCAATCCCGGAGCCCCCGCTCCGGGAGCCCGGGGGTCTCCCCAGTCCTAGCGCTCCTCCCACGCCGCTGCTCCCCCCCCCGCCCCCCATCCTGCAAGCCCTGCTTCCTACAGCTCCAGGGCCACAGCCAGTCCCGGAACCCCCACCCCTAACTTGTGTCTCGGGCCCAGCGCGGCCCGCTGCTGCCCTCTCACTGCGGCCCGGGAGGCTGCCCTCCCCGGGGCCTGCGGGCCCGGGCCCGCCAGCCGCCCCCCCGCCGGGCCGCCCCTAATCGTTGCCAGCCCCGGCGCCGGCCCCGCCACATCTGGCTGCGCTTTGCTGTCATCCTCGCCTCCCCACGCCGCCTCACCACCGACAAGAAGGAACACCACCCCGCAACAACTCGCCCCGGGCCCCCCACCGGCCACTCCCCCGAACTCGCTCCAGCGCTCGGCCTCCCCGCTCCACTTCCAACCCGGGACGGCTCTGCCCGCGGGCGCTGGGGACAGGGACGCGCGCCCCGCCCGGCCTCGAGCCCCGCGCCCCGAGCAGAGCAGCCCCTCCCGAGGCGGGCCGGGAACGGGGGAGCGGCACCTCCCGGCCCAAGCTTCCAGAACATCCGAAAACGCAGAAGCCCCTCCGACTGCCCCTCCCCGGTCCCCCAGCCCCTGGACTGCCGCCCCGAAAGCGTTCCAACACTCCCCGAGCAAAGGAGCCGCGGGGGGACGCGACGGCGAGTTCTGCGGCTCGATCGCTGCGGAGGGGAGGGGGCGCAGCCCGGGCGGCGGGTCCCCGGCTCGCCGAACAGAAACACGGCGCCCGGCCCCAACTCTCCCGCAGCCCCCGCCCCCTCCAGCATCCACCCCGGGCCCGCGGCGCCAAGCAAACAGGTCTCCGGGGCCCGGTACAGAGGCACATTGTTCGCTCCCGCGGCTCTTACCTCGCTCGCCGAGCGCGCCCCGGGGAGGACCGTCTGGCCGGGGGCCGCGCGGGGAGAGGCGCGGAGCCGGGCGGCGACCCCGGCCGCCGAGGGCCGAGGCCGGCCGCGAGTGGGTCGCCGGCCGCCGAGGGGGCGCGGGAGGCAGCGCGGCGGCTCGGCGCGTCCTCCTGCTCGGCCGCCGCCGCCTCCAGCCAAGCAGCCTGCGCCAGGCGGCTCCTGGGGTTAGGTCAACATTTTCCCGCAGTGTCCCGCACGCCGCTCCGCCACGGGGGTCTGGGCCAGGCGCGCGCACACCCCCTGGCCGCGCGCTCCCTTCGCAAAAGCAACAATTCGGGGATCAGAGAGGAAGGGGTGGCGGGGCAAGAGCCCGACAGAGGTGCGCAGACTTGGGAGTCCCCTCGGAGCGGCCGGCGCTGGGGGCGCGGGGGGCGCGGGGGGCGCGGGCGGGGGGCGCGGGCGGGCGGGCGGGCGCGCGGCCAGCTCCGTGTGTCCGGCGAAGCCCCTCGGCCCGCCGTGCGCCGACCTGCGGCCCCTCCTCACATTGCTGGGCTCCGGGCCGCGGCGGAGCGGCGGCCGCTGCCCCCCAGCAGCCCGGCGGCGAGGACTCGGGCTCGGGCAGCGGGGCGGTGCAGGGAAGAGGCGCGCCACGCACAGCAGCGGCGGGGACAGGCCCCCCGACAATCCCCAGGAACGCTCCGGTAAGCGACCGCCTTCGCTCCGGCACCTCTGCGTGTGTGTGAGCGGAGAGAGGGAGAGCGAGAGAGAGCAGGAGAGAGGGAGAGCGAGCGAGAGACGGGGGAGTGCGAAGTCCTGACACAGACTCTCGGCGAGGTCTGAACTGGAGTCACCTCCAGCCGCCTCCTCCTCCTCCTCCTCCTCCCCAAATCCCCACCTCCCCACCCCCCCGAGTTCGCCTAATCATATCAACATATTAGCTTGTACAGCGGCAAAGGACAAATCTCTCCCTCCTGATTTTTCCAGCCAGAGGCTCAGGCAAACTCAAAAGAAGATTACAGGCAGCTAAGTACAAAACGCGGAGCAGATAATCTATAACTCATTGCCGCCCAATGGCCATTTTCCACTCCATTTGAACAGCTGCGGCGGCCGTGCGCCCGAGCGGAGGGGAGGGGAGGGGAGCGAAAGGGGACACTTACGAGCTCGAGCAGTTCGGCTGGCGGTGGCGGTGGCCCAGCAGCCGCCCGAGCACTGGCCGGCCCCGGCTCCGCCGGCGGGGCGGCCGCAGGGCTGTCCTGGCGGCGGCGGCGGCGGCGAGGGACGCGCGCGCACGGCCGCGGAACGCGCCCTGGAGGCGGCCTGCGGTGGCTGGCGCCCCTCCCCTCCCGCCCCGTCCGCTCGCCGTCCCCCCCACCCCACCGTCCCGGGGCTCCGCATCCAGACCCCCCCCCCCAACAGCCCCAACCTTCAACCCATCTTTTCAACCCCCACCTCCCTAAACTCCACTCACTGCGCGCTCGGTCCTCCGCGCGCTCCGCTGGCGCGCGCTCTCCATCCTGTCCACACACACGCACTTTAAAAACATTTATTTTATTTCTGGACCGGGGTGAAGGGTATTTGGGAGAGCGCGGCGCGCCGGCCTCCCAGGCGGGGCGCAGGGGGCTGGCCGGCGCCTCGGAGCCCCCCTCCCTTCTCCCCCCCAGGCCCAGGAGCTTGCTCCTTGCCTGGACTTCGGAGAGGCGCCCAGGATGCGTCTTGTACCCACCCCGTCTCCAGGTTTCTCTATTCTCCACGCCGCGAGCCGCAGGCCCCGAAACTTTTAGTTTCCGCAGCCCTCCTTTTGTGTGACTGCTCGGAGGAGAAAGAACGTCTGTTCGCCACCGCTGCCTCCGTCCGGCTGCGGCGCGCGGGGGACGCTCCAGGGTTAATGCGTCTTTGATACCGGAGATTTCCGGCGCGCTCGTTAATGAAAGTTACATTTTTTAAAATTGCGATGACTTTTTCTTTGTAGTTACGGAGGACTAGCCCAACTTTGACTTTATTGACTATATTTCACAAGAGCGATTTGTTTGTTTTTGATTAAAGCCACCAGGATAAGCAAAGGAAGGAAAGGAGACTACAAGGGTCTTTACTCGCAAGTGCATTCATCGTGCTGTTAGGTCTGTTTCCCTCATTTCCTTACATTGAAACTGCTTTTGCTCTTGTCCTCTGACCACACTTCCTTGCACCTCTCTGTTGGTAGTGTCAGCAAACAGCCAGACAGCGCCCACGACAGACTCAAGCTAAAGAGAATAGACCACGACCGGGCAAATCATGCTTGAAAAATGTTTAGAAACCAGTTAAGTGTCCTCTGCGTACGAGGAAAATCAAACCTGGATTTTTCTTTTTTAATTACAAAATTCTGAGCTGAAAGTGCCGAAGTTTTCGGTTGCGTTTCTAAATCTCTGGTTCTACTAATGAATGCAGCCGTCAATTAAAGAAGCGTGTTTGCATTGGTTTTCAAGAAAAACTGAATCTCCAAGATTTAAAACCTCTAGAAAATAGGATGAAACTTGAGCTTCTTTGCTTTCAGAAACAATATGTAGTTTCTGTTGCTGCGGGTATGTTGCAGTCATCATACTTCAGAAATCATTTCAAACAACAATGTTATTAAAATGTCAACAGCAGATTGTTCAAAAGACATGAAGACTCTAAATACCTATCAGTTATTTTGTCACAAAGCCAGATATTTGTAGTACTGAAGTAAATCCAGCTAGTGGTCAAGTTTGTTCTCAACTTGTAAAAAGTCATGAGTTAAAAGTACATGTGTGCAAATAACTGAAACATGCTCTTTTGGTGGATTCATTATAATTCTCAAATTAAGCAAGAATCCTCGATGATCTAATTTCTTTCTACTTAATGTATTGATGTTTTAATACTCTCACCATTCCAAAAGATAAGAGAAGCTATTTAGAGTGTTTGTGCTTTAAACTACATACACACTTCCATTTGGAATTTCGTAGATAGCATAGTTCAGATATTATCAACGCAGGGTATAAACTAGTCTGGAAAAAAATACACTTGTGCAGAGCTGGTGTGAAACCTTGTTACATACCTAAGTCTTTACATCTGTCGAAATTTATATGTACAACAGAGGTATCTAGGAAAATTAAATCAGGCTACTTTAAAGTAGTTGAAAAGAAGGCAGAATTATAGAATTCTCAGACTTCAGAGGTCATTTATATCATGGTCTCTTTTGGAATTTAAAATTATTTTATTCAGGATTGTAAACCAAAATATGTCAAACTAATAATAGTTTGCATTTACTGAAAAATTTTAGCCCTTTCTTTTGTTCACCTTTGAAGGTTTTTCATCTGAGCATGATTCACAAGAAGCCCCAATGAGTGCACAGATTTGTCTAATCCTATTTTCTTTTGGGAGGCAAAGCTTGGGCTGAAGTTTTTATTTAGTGAGCTTAGTAAGTAATCAATAGAAATTTTTGCCTGAATTAAGCTGGCCATATGTTGGCTCATTTACTTATTTATTTAACTCTCTCAGAAAGAATCTCTGCAAGAACCCACTATCTACGTTTCATAGGTCTGACATTCTTTGATGCTCAGGACATAAGGGAGTCACTCTCCACTATGTTCCTAAAGAGACTACACCACAAAAAAAGGAGGGTCCTTGAGAGGGGGTTAAAACTATAGGGAGTGGAAAATGTCTCGTACAAGTTTTTAATTTTAATTCAATAGGATGTGTATTTTACAGAGTTCAAAGGATCTAATACTTTTTTCCTAAGACTACAATAAGCTTGCTATGTTTTTAAAATTATATCTAAGTGTATTCCTTCTCTGGGATAATGCTTTAAATATTAAAGAGTTTTTAATACTTCCCTTGCACTTTACACATAATAATGTGTCAACCTTCTTTGTATCCACAAAGACTTGAAACAGAGCTTTTAATTGCACTGATATATTCAAGATTAAGCTGTTAGCCACAACCTGCCATTTACAAAGGAGCAGTTAAATGACACATACACATCCAGAAAACGTAATTTGCCTGACACTTCATGACAATTCCAAACATAATTTATAACAACACAGGTGTTATGGTAGAAAAAAATGAAATAAGAAGCTTAATAATGTCTGCAGATGTGAGCAAGTTAAGGGGAGTGAGTAGATGATGCTTCCCTGCGATACAGTCAATTTAACTGCTCAATCTATATTATTATTTAAGTAATGGCAAAATCATTGACTTATTCATAATACTTGCTAATTGTTTTTAAAAATAAATTCTACAAAGGACAAAGGAAACACCCCTTTCCATTTGTTTTATGTTAAATCAACATCTAACCACTCATGGTGATTTCATTCAAAGAAAACAGAAGGAACTCATTAGCTTATGTGGTTAGAGAGATTGATGGGCTTCAAACATTTTAACCATACATGTTTTTTCCAACTGTAGGAACTCATGGTTTTAATTTAAGCAACTTTAAGAAACTAAAGATTATTTTATTCAATGGGTTCACATATTTCTGATGATGAAATTATGCTAATTTTTAATGCTATTTACCATCCGAGCATCTTTGTTTAGAGGGAAGTGAAGAGGTACTTGTCAAAAATACAAGTATTAAGAACAATAGTTCAGGTACCAAATTAAGGAATCTGAAGAGGTATGAAAATGGGCATGGTAGCAAAATATTGTGATTAGGATAAGCCAGTAGACACACGTGGGTAACTTCGTCACTGCCCCGCTCTGACAAACTTCTATCTGGATAAGCCAGTTCAGAAAGGGATGCTCATAGGGGTGGGTTGGGGTGGGGTGGGGTGGGGAACAGACTGGGGGCTTGATAGTAGGCCCCAAATCGTGTGAAGTTTGAGCTGCCCAGCTGTAGAGAACTATCCATGAGGCTAAGCTGTATTCATTACGGGCGGCACATTTTTGCCTGTGATGAGAGCTCTGTGAGAGTTCTAAAATACAGCGAACAAGTAAACAGAAAACATGTGAAACTGGTCTAGTATCTAATACAGAAATAGAACTAAAATTAGCCAGATTTCATCCTAACCTTAGTCAGTTCCCTTTTATTTTTTTATTACTGTTCAACGATGCTGAGTGCTGAAACTAGTTTTCCCTACTCTAGAAAATACATCTTTTAAAGCTCTAGAGCAGATCAAAGCAATATGTGA